TTATACCAGCATCAAATACAGTGAAAACAGGAGTTATAATGTGGGGGGAAGAACATACAAGAGAAAAAAATCACACCGTACAATTTAAATAGGTTAAAAACAATAGCAAGCAAGAAAAAAAAAACCTGAAACTCTGTGTCCCTATCTTGGGGTTCATTTCACTTAACATTATATGTACATAGCTTTTGACCTTTTGTGCTTGTCCTAGACTTATACTAGTTATTGCAAATAAGGGAAACTATAACACCTATGTTTCTTTGGGCGGCTTACTTCACTTAATACAATTTTTTTTCGAAGCCTTTCCATTTCCTATCAAATGGGATGGTGTCACTCTTTCTGATGGAGGCATAGAACTCCATTGTATATATACTTTTTTAATTTTGTGAGGGGAAGGGAAATAACAAAATGCTGAAATATAGATACAGGTTGACCCATTGTAACAATGAGATGTACAACACACTATGTTGAAAACTAACTTTACAACTTTGGCAGGGTGGGGGAGAAGTTGAGAAGGTGGGGAGGGAAGGGATGGTAGGGGAAAAACAAAGGAGGAGGTAATAGTGGTCAATAGGAAATGTACTCATTACCTTACTCATGTAACTGTAGTCACTCTCTACAGTATTTTTACAATAAAATATATTTAAAAATTGTACCAGTATTCTATTCTATTAGAAACAATTTCAAAGTCCATTCTTTGTTATTTAATAATTTTAATCTGTGTTGTACTCTGCAGTTTTATGCTATTTTTTGTGTGTTGCTGACATTTTATTTTTGTGTAGATACATGGCTGAGTTTACATGGAAATACATTTATATGTTTGTAGTTGGAACTGGTTATGGCCTTTGAGTTAAGGACAAAACTGTAAATCAAAAAGTAAATAAACTATCAGGACTCAAATATTTTAAAAACCTTTTTTTTTCTTTTTTTAAAGCTCAGATTCATTTTTTTTAAATCTCAGATTTATTTCACACAAAGCCAATTTGATTTTCTTTGGCAGAGTTCAGAAAGTATGGATTTAGTGAACCATTAGCTCAGTGCTCTTTGACTTCTTATACACTCAGCCTGATCAGTATTTCAGAAGGACGGAGGAACAAGAATTCATTTTTCTAAAGGCTCCCCATCTATCAGTCTTTTCTTGTAGGGTTGTGGTACCTATTCACAATCAGCATGTGTTTCATGAGCAAGCTTTAGTGGCTTTAGATAGCCAAAGTACCTACAAAATAAAAGAACATTAGATGGTTTTGAAGAAAAAAATATGAATTCTATTTTTGACAAATAACTTTTGTTACCAGAAATATGTAGGTATTACATACCAATATGTGTTACTTATAACACTTGAAACACACCCCAGCCCATAATGGAAGTTAGCTTTTTTTTTTTCAGATGGGTTTCGTAATTTGGGGCCCCAAAGCAACTTCTTTCTACCCTTGCCTACCATTGCAGTTGGGATATAAAAAATACACTGTAACATCCAGCTTGTTGAGATATGACTCACTAACTTTTTGACCACATTGGCTTGGATCTCTGCCTCTTAGAAAGCTGGGATAGAGATTTTGGAATGGATTTGTACATAACTCTATATCTCTTCTGAGAAACCTACTTCAGTGATATATAGTTCTGTGACACAGGAAAATACTGCATTATTTCTCCTTCCTTTCTACCATCCTCTTTCCTCCTTCCTCCATCCCTCTCCTACCTTTTCACCCTCCTTTCTTCTATCTTTCTTTAAATTTTACTTTCTTTTTTCCTTGCTTCTTTCTTCACTGTAGCATGTAAATTAGAATCAAAAGATGATTTTGAGTAGGGTTCATGCTTCAGTTACAAAAGTGGAGACGTTGTAGGATTATATTATAGATATCACTTAAAATCTGAATATTTGTATCTGCTTTTGATACCATATTGATAAATATTGCATTTTCATACAAAAGTTCACTTTTGTACTATCAAATGTCTGCTATTGAAAGTGGTTACTGTTTGTGGTAATAGCTTTTAATGTTTTACACTAAACAAATTAAGATTATACACAAAAAACAAGTATAATTACAATGTGTACACATGTATACATATGCATAATTAGCCTACCTTCAGAAAAAAATGTATGCTATTATATTAGAAGAATCTGAAAAGCTACAGAGATTTAGTTATTCACATAACTAATTTTAATAAACATAGTTAGAAAATGCTGAAATAAATTCATATAGATAATATTAGAAAAAAATTTCAGTAGAAAATTATACTACAAAGACACATTCACATATGTTTCAACACAATTGTATTTCTCATTCCATACTTTAAGTAGGTAAAGGTTCATGTACTTGTGTGAAGATACTGAATCTAAAGCAGATACTTCCTGTATACTATATGCATTTGTATTTTCTAGTTGTGTGTGTGTGTGTATGTAGATATGTGTAGGATAATTCTTTATAAAAAATGCACAACCAAGTGAATTGTAAAATCCTATTTATGTAGTGAAAAATTTCTTCTCTGTAGTTAATATTAAGACTTCCAGGAATCATTACAAGTTATCTAACTTTGTTATTGTTTCTTTTTCATGGATTAGAATTCAAATATGCAAACAGATTTGCTTTAAAAAGGATTCTTAAAGATTTTCTCTTTAGGTCATATCATTTTTGTTTCAAATTAATGTATGTTTCTCAATAACTAATGTTGTCTTCCTTTTTGGTTCATATTTAAACACAAATTCTGAGTTGTGTGAGATTTAAAAAGGAAATATGGCCTACTGATAACTTTAAAGCTTTTATGATATTAACAATTTCATAAAATGAATTACTGCCATTTATTGGGATTCTGGTGTGTCAGGTAGAAAGGGCCATTTGTCATTTAATCATCAAAGATGAGGTAGGCATGATTAATTACTATATGACAGCATATTAAAGAATAAAAAAGAAATCCTTTTCCTCACTGAGACTTTGTAGTCAGCTAATTGGTTGGGTTTCTCTCACAGTGAATTGGGAAGCTAGTCTTCATGAATCTTTACTGCTCTGTGTTAGCACTAAGTCTACTTTGAAAAGAAGTCTCATTTGGGTCATCAAAACAGTCACCACTTTTAAAACATCTTTCAGATCTAAGTTAGTACAGAGTAATATCTTTAGACTAAAGTAGTGATTGTTTCATATTGAGGAAAATGACCTTCAATTTATAATAAAGTATCCTATCTTCTCCCAGGATTTCAAAGCATGCCTGGATCCAGTTTCTACGGTATTACTTTTCTCTGACAAAATGAGAAAGGGAAAATTATCAGTGGAGATTGTTCAATGCTGCCCTTAAACTAATGTCACTTCTAAAGACCCAAATGGATATTAGCATAGCAGTCACACCAAGACTTTGTGGAGATCAGAGATAAATAGTTTTTGGTTCATTTAACTTTATAGTAAAATGAGGAGCCCTCAAAACCCATCTTGTTGCCCTTTCCAAAATTTCAAAACATGCATTTCCTATAAACATGATTGGAAACTAATTGCAGAATGTATTTTGATTAACCTGAACCATCAAATGAAGGCTAGATGCAGGGTTAGGATAAGGACAGGGAAAGGAGGGGTTTGGGCTGCACCCTCTGAGAGTAGGTAGCTCTTCAATTTTCTGCCTGAGTTCTTTATTTTCCTTAGTTTTGACCTGACAGGAAAGTGTAACAGAAAGCTTTAAAGACAGCTTCTGTTCAGAAAAAACATAAATCAAAAATAATATCACTTTCCTGGTAGGATTACAGGGCTTTGTGCTACCATTAGGGATTTGTGGAAGGAAGGCTCCAGAGTTAGCCTGCCCAGTAGGCCTGTGCGGAATCGGAAGACAGTCGTCTCATCTTAGAGAATGTCAGTGGATTATTGTAAATTCAATCAGGTGGTGACTCCAATTGCAGTTGCGGTTCCAACTGTGCTTTCATTGCTGGAGCAGAACAATATATTTGAGAACACCGTTATTGACATGTGGAGAACTTTCTCTTTGATTGCTTTTTAAAAAAGACCATCTAAAATGTTCATGTTCTTGGCCCTATCTTAGCCTAATAGCAGTTCTGTAGCTCTCTGTTAAAAGCTAATTTAGAGACAGCTTCAATAGCTTACTTTCCAGACCATACCATTCTGGTTTATTACACTCATACTAAGGATATGGCTTGCTAGAAAGTAGGAAATGTGTTGTTGAAACATTTAATTTCATACTTTTTTCTCCTGCACCAAATTACATTCTTTATATTTTTAGTAGTGTTTCAACTTATTTTTAGAGTTATAGTTACAAAATAATTGATACTATATGACCTTCATAATTTTGATAGAATTAGATTTACGACATAACACCGTTTTCTTCTCTACATTCAGTTGTTTTTAAGTTATTGGAATATATCAATCTGTACAGCATTCTAGAGCCACAATTAGATGGTTGTTTACATCATTTTATTTATGTCATTCATTATATTTTGACCTCCACAATTGCTGTTGAAACCAAAATGTTACTGTAACGATTGATTCTCTATTTGGTCATACCTTTTTGTTTGGTGTTCCATATCACTTTTGTTTTTCATAGTTATAGTACAATGCCAAAATAAGATTTTCTTTCTGTTTTAACTTGATTATGATTGAATTATACTTTTTTGTATTTTGATGAGATATATCATCATTTGAAAACTTTTTAGATATTACTTCTTTAGTACATCTAACAAATTCTCTTTATTGACACTTGTTCTGGGACTCCAACTAGACTGATATTAGAGTTTTATTTACATATTGGTTATATGTTTCACTTTTCATAACTCCTTTTGCTTAGTCAATTGATTTATCTCGTGCTTGCATTCACATAGCACTATTTCTAGTTGTGTAAGATATCCTAATACGTCATTTCATTCGCTTTGTAGTTTCTAGAATATTTTCTTCTTATTATGTGATTTAGTATTTTTCTAAAAAAGATTTGAAGAAAATCTCAGCTATGAACTGGGTTTCTAGCAATGTTACTTAAATTTAAAAATTGGGTTAAAAGCTTCAGAGGAAGTGGGCTGCCGGGTGAACTGGGCGCGGGGAGCCTCTCCAGGCCCGTTCCACCATGTCGAAGGTTTCGTTTAAAGTCACGTTGACGTCGGACCCGCGGCTACCGTACAAAGTACTCAGTGTTCCTGAAAGTACACCTTTCACAGCAGTCTTAAAGTTTGCAGCAGAAGAATTTAAAGTTCTTGCAGCCACAAGTGCAATTATTACAAATGATGGAATAGGAATAAATCCTGCACAGACTGCTGGAAATGTTTTTCTAAAGCATGGCTCAGAACTTCGAATTATTCCTAGGGATCGTGTTGGAAATTGTTAATAGCTGCTACTTGGAACATTCAATTGCCTTTCAGAATAAATACTGGTATATTTTGTTATTGTAAAATTGAAATCAAGCATTGGACATACTCTGAAAACACATGAGTCAAAAAGCAATGAAAGGCGACTCGGTTCTTTCTTGTTGCTTGTACTCTTCCTGTGAAGAGGAGTGCTTATGGATGGAGGCTACCACCACCCCAGAAGGTCAGAAGGTCATTTGATTGCGACCTTACAACACAAGTAGGGAGTTCATTTGGGGCAACTGGTTTCTCCAAAATTGTGCTTCAACTGGAGGATGAGAGCACTTGGGTTAAAATTAATTAAAATGCAATGAATCTTAACCTATTTATTTGTCCTTGGTTTTAAAAAGTAAAAGGATTTGGATGACAATGATTGATTACTACCATCTGATTTGCACACATAGTTTGATTTTTATATATATTTATTGTGAAGATAATAGTTAATCTTTCATCAGTTGCAATTTTTATTTAATTGACTGTCATTAATTTTTAGTATCAACAAATCAAAAATTGAGTATTTTGATTGAAGCATTGGGTACATAAATTGAAAACCTGTACTGAATAGTTTTAACAATGACTTCTCCAATCTAGTATTTGTCAAAGTGGGAATGTAAAGACATCCTTTGCTGGGTTATGCATTTCTTTATCTAGTATTTGTCAAAGTGGGAATGTAAGGGCATCCTTTGCTGGATTATGCATTTCTTTATCAGCACCCTTTGATAACTTACGATGAAAACTAATGCCTTTGAGGATAATGTATTTGTATGGCACTTAGAGAGTATTGTTATATTAATGCTATGAAATTTATAGTATGACCTAATTGGAAATGATAGTGAGTTACACTTACTGAAGACCCAGCATTTTAAAGATGTGCTCATCCAAGGGGATAAGAAGCCAGGGAAAGAAAGGTGTCCAGGCTTTGGCAAGAAGGGAAGCAACAATGAAGAGGAACAGAAAATTCACAGTGTCATAAGAAAAAGGCAACTTTGTTTTGTTTTGTTTTGTTTTTTTGTCAACTTCCAATTGACAAAACTGCAGTACATGTTGGAGCAAACTGAGATAGCAAAATACTAGATAGTCTTTTAAGTAGTAGAGAAAATAAACCATGAACCTTGTCAACCTATCAGTTTCAAAATAACTTTATTAGAATGATATGCTAATGAAAGCTTTTATTTGCTTTATCGAGGGGTATCAGTACCTGTGCATATCCAGTGATTCAGAATGAGTACTTGACCTATATTTTAAATGGTGAGCTTTCTGGAGGAAAGGGTTGCATCTGTAGTAGGTTTTCAATAAAAACTTATTGAGTTAGTAATAAATGAAGTATCACATAAAAAAAAATTGGGTTAAAATAAATGTCTCTTATTACTTCATACCATTATAATGATAATTTCTCACACCTCTTTCAGGAATATTGTTTTCCTAATTTAAAATACAGAATGATTAATATTATTTATTTTACATTAGCAATATTTCAACAAAAATAATAAGAGTTATGTTAGTGTCTTGTTATACAATTATATTTTAAACTGGAAATTTCGGTGTAAAGAGTCAAAGCAAAACCCAAACTTTTCTATTATGTAGGTACAAGTATTAGTTCAGTGAGGTCATCCAAAACTTATTTGAGGTGCTTGTCAGGATTTTGTTGTCTTGACATATTTTTATTTTATTCTAGGAACTCATAAATCAGCTCTCGAAATCTTCAGGAAGCAGCAGACAGCAATGCTGAACTTTGTACTGAAGATCTTTTGATATCCAAGTCATTTTCTGTGTCCAGGAAACAGTGCTATCTATAATTAAAGGAATGGTGACCATTGTTCTCTTTGGCTTAAAAAGAATTCAACGTTAAAAAAATAGTGTAAAATATTTCAGGAAGATACACAGTGAAATGTCATCTGTAAAGTAAGCCAACGGTCGACAGAAGGGTCCACGTAGATTAGATACCCGATGCAGGCTACATTGTCCTCAAACTCAAAAATAATCTAAACACAATTAAAGAAGCAAAAGTCTCAGTTTTTTAAACCTCATTCCATATGGACATGCCATATAAATCAGGTTTCATATTTTGTGCAGAATGAATTTTCACATATGCTTCAAAGAAAGTGGACAAGATACTGCTTGGAAATAATTCATATGAGAGAAATAATAAGTAAATTCTGTGTGTAATAGCCTTTTGTTTTATCCCTTCTGCCTAGTAAATTTTCTGTTAGAAAGAAGATAGTACATATTTTGCATTCTATGTTCTATGAATATTTATTTAAATATTGGTGAAATTATTAGTTTATTGTCCAACATACATTATTTGTGAATTTACATGCAATAATACACAACTATGAAACAGAATCCATCATTAAGTTTTCTGCAGATTCCCAATGTTATACTGAAGCTATTGTTATTTTTTGGATTGTATTTTAATAGCCAGGCCTCAAGAAAAATCAGTGTATCTCATGACTGTCAAAGATTTCTTTCACCTTGGTTTCATCCCAGTCCATTCAAGTGAGAGTTCAGCGCATTTTCTTGAATGAAATAGGAAATGTTCACATTTAATTAAAAATCTTCGTAAGTTTGCTGCATATTTTTCAAGTCAAGAGAAACTTTAATAAAATGTGGTTTGGCTACCTCTGCACTTTTTAAAAATTATTGTTCTTTAATGAGCTGATTTCATATTTTACAAAGTTCAGTTAAACTTTTGTAATAAGCATAAAAATAGGACATTTATCAACTTTTAGGTTGCACACATTAAACATATCCATTTTGCTTTAGCTCATATTTATTTGAATAAAATGGTTAAAATAATTGACTGGTTAATTATTTTTGAATTCAGTTTTTACCTTAATGAGTAGCATTATAAGTATTTTCATTCACTATCGTTTCCAAGACACATTTCAAAAGCATGTGTAAAGCTAAAACATTTTCTCTATTCTTAAAAGGCAATGAAAATAAATCTTTCATGTTATTTAGCTTTATAAGTTTGTGCTTCAAGTAGATTATTTCCTAATATTGATATTATCGGAGACAGACATACATACAGATTTTTAAAAAAATCTATTATTGGGCTGGGAAGGTGGCTCAGTGGTAGAGCGTTTGCCTTGCATGCATGAGACCCTGGGTTCGATTCCTCAGCACCACATAAGCAAAAAAGAAAAAAGCCAGAAGTAGCACTGTGGCTCAAGTGGTAGAACGCTAGCCTTGAGCTGAAGAGCCGAGGGACAACGCCCAGGCCTAGAGTTCAGGCCCCATGACCGGACTGCCCCCCCAAAAAAAACTATTATATTGATTTTTTCTTGTGTATAGATTTTAAGAATATGACTAGCATTTGATATTTGCATAGCTCAGAAAAATAGATATTTAAGAAGTAATTATTTAAATATTACTGGAAAAAAATACAGTATGTTTAAAAATCAAACTTAATTTCAAAGAGGAGGGGAATTGTAGTTCTGCAAAGTTACTATTTGAGTAAGAACATGTCTTTTAATTTTAATTTACTTACTAGTCAGAATTTATGCTCTATAGTTTGAAATAAATTTCAAAATGCCAGAAATAGAGAAAGAAGCTACACACTTAGGAAACTTCAGTTTTAGAGTATTCACTTACTGCAGAGTTTAAATACAAGCAAGCAAATAAATACACAATAATATTTTAGTGATTGTACTGTTGTAAAATTAGTTGTAAAAATTAGTCATTGCATGTTAAAAGAATGATTGCTGTGATATGATGATGATGATGATGATGATGATGATGATGATGATGATGATGATGATGATGAAACACTGGCCAGATGATGATGATGATGATGATGATGAAACAATGGCCAGAGAAGAGGGTATTGGCAAAGTGAGAAAAAATATTTTATAGACTAATAGACCTAGTTTCTTAGATTCTACTGAAAACATATCAAACTTAAATCTTCTATCTCAGTACTTTCAGAAAACAGGTCTAATTTTCTTTTTGTTTATTACAGTTTTTCCTTTTATCTGATATCTCTGGTGCATGTAATCATCACATTATAATGACTGTTGTTTATCTGACTGATTGCTGACTGATATTATAATGCTGACTTAGAAGAAGACAAAATTTTGGAACTTTATTCTTCTTTTCTTCATGTTCTTCCATTAATATTCTTTTATTCTATTCTATTCTGTTCTGTTCAATTCTTTTCTTCCATTGAAGTCTACTCTTTATTTCATTTTACTATTAGTATTAATTTTATATAATGAAAATTATTTACCATAACAGCTATCATGAGAAATTCTCTAAATACAAATGCAAAGAATATTTAAAAGAGATTGAAATAATTTGAGTCTTGTTGAATGCTAAGTCCTCAAATGAGCAAATTATGTTTTCATAGGTTGTTACATTGAAGACACTAATTAGGTCGATTTAACAAAATACAGAATTTTTGGAAGCATCAGAAACAAAAATGTTTCAAAGATCTCAATCTGATTCAATCCGTGCTTTCCTAAATACCACAAGATAAGGAAGAACTAAATATTCAATGATTTATTTCACATTGATGGTGTTAGGAAAATGGACAGTAACTTTAGATATCAAATAATGTGTTTGACCTCTTGTACTCTATTATATATATAAAAGTATATATATAATATATATACACACATATATATATACACACACACATATATACACACACATACACACAACACACACACACACACACACACACACACACACATATATGTGAGGATATATATGAGGAAGAATCCAGGACATAATTCTCCAAAATCTCCCAAAACAAGAAAAAGAACATGACTATAAACACATATAAACAAAGTTGGAATTGAATAGAGCATGGTTTATATCTTAGAGGAAAAAAAATATAGCAATTAAGGCAACAAAAAAGAGAGTCTACATAAACTGATCCCCTATTAAATATTTCCCCAAAGAGAAGAAATCTAAATTACTGTATTTTTACTCATTTCTTAACTGGTTAATAACATTGTTTTAATCGTCTACTTATCAAAAAGTTGTATGACCAAGAGTGGATTATTTTTTGTTTCATAAGTAAAGTTGATGCAAAGAGAATCTTTTTCAA